TAATAACAAACTCGCCTACTTGGTAATGATTAGATTCAGTGTGCAGATGAGAGGATAGGATTGCTAATTAATAATTGTGTATTTAAGCCAGTGTTTTAGCGCTGTTTCATACTGGCTCAGCTTACTGAAATATTTTGAGTATTTCAATACGCACTCGTTTGAGCATCAGCATCAAGCCTAAATAAACGTTTGACAGGAACTGCGAAGGCAGTAAATACCGAAGCTGTAAAAGCTGTGTGTTGTAGAGCAGAGAGTAATCTGCATCTGGAAAACATCATGTACGCAGGATGTCTCGTAACTCTGTGTTTACTGCTCCGGTTACGACCTTCCCACCGCTCTGTCAGCGTCACAGTCTGAATGAAGACCTAAACCTAAACTCTCCTACAGTGGCCCTGAAATGCTTTCTTTGCACAATTAACAGGATAATTCACCCAAAAATGAATGCACTCACCCTCATGTTGTTCCAAACCTGTATGCTGTTTTTTTTTCTCTTCTGTGGAGCACAAAAGAAGATATTTTGAATAATGTTTTTTTTTTCCATACAGCGAAAGTTGTTTTGGAACCCACTGACATTCACATAAAATGAATAAACAATCAAAAAAACAAAACAAACCCATCACATTCATACATTATTCCTCGAGTTGTTGGAAAAAAGTTGTATTTAACTAGGATTTATTATTATTATTATTATTTCTCATTTAGGGTTATGGACAAGCCTGCAAAGTTTTGAAACTCTGAGGTGTTGTGGGATGTGTGTATGTGCATACAAAATGTTTATTACAATTATGATGCTCGTGGATCAGTTTGACCTGTAATTTCACAGTTAACCGCAGCTGCACAGACTCTTTTTTTGGCCATACTTTGTTCGTTTCTCAACTACTCTATGGGAGTATTTACATTTAGAATTATACATTTGGCAGAAAGAAATGTCCATACATTTTTAACAGTTCAAGCACGGTAATTTCACTGAGAATGTAGTGCCATGCTCTAGTGCTTGAGCTTCACAAAAGGACACGCACACAAATAAAATAAACAAAATTTTAAGCTTAAAAAAAAAACTTTTTATAATATTCATATTTTTTGGAAAAGTTAAAATAGTTGTTAAAAACAGTTTTTTTTTGTGTGTGGGGGTTTTCTTGATGTGACTTTTTGTGAATTGTATTGAATCCGATTATGGTCACTTTGACCCGCAATATAAAAATCATACCCTTAATTTGACACAAAATTGGTTATGCTTCATTACAGCATCCTTCACATTGATACTCTGTAGAATTGCCTGAAGTTGACATAATCGGTCTCTTTGCCCTCCACAGCGTTCAGCATTTTGAGAAGAGCATTAAGTTCATGCACGAGTCTCGACTGAAAGGCGAGGGCTGTCTGGTGCACTGGTAAGTGAGGGGTTCGTTTGTCCTCCAGCTATTAAATCTACACTATACATGAACCGATGTTAGGTATGCATACGATTGCATGCACCCAGATACACGACTCTACCTTAAGAGGAAGCTAAATGTGCACTCAACCCAGATACCAGCCCTAATTGAGCCCAGTGTGACCATGTGAACAGCTGATAACTAGGTGTCAAGGGGGGTGGGCTATTTTTGAACTTCCCAAAACAACAGTAAACACGAGCCTGTGTTTGATATGAGACTATAACACCTCAATCCATGCTCAAAAACATCATGAGGTCTGTAGTATTTCTCTGAAATCTCACCTTCGTCCTCCTGAGTTGAATGCGTAGGGTTACCCTGGTAAAAAAGTAGTATATTTAAAATACATTTATCTCATACTAAGTATAGTTCAGATCTATTAACATGACATATCGCTCTATGAGACTTAGTGATATAAAAATTTGAATTAAACTTTATTTGGTGTACTGCTTGCGCACAATGCACAATTAATATTAAGCCTAAAATGTGTTTTAATGTCACTATTGATGAGGATTGAATAATATCAGTCTTTAAATGCGAGATAATTAAAATGTACCTGAAGCATTCTTGCAATAGTTCCACTTTAGCACAATCCAATATACTTCAGTATATCTTTACGTAGTTGAACCTCAGCACTACTTCTACAAAATTAAAGTGCAGTTTATCAGACTCCATGTATACCAGTTTAGTGTACAAAAAGTACAATTGCAGGGTATTTTTATTAAGTACCTACACTCTAAACAATAAAGGTGCTTAAAAGGTTCTTCACAGCGATGCCATAGAAGAATTTTTGGTTCCACAAAGAAGCATTCAGTCAAAGGTTCTAAAACGGAGCAAATAAAGTGTATTGATATTAATAAAAACAGTATTCTTCCACCAAACAATGTAGCTCCTCAGAATCAGTTGTGGTTGCAACAAAGTGGTTGCCGAGCAACACACAAACGTAAACAAAGGTGTGTGTTTGTAGAGTAATTTACAACAACTTCGAACGTGGCTCAACCAATCAGAATCCAGGACCGGAACTCTCCGTTTTATAAGGTTCTTTGGAACCATTTAGACAAAAAGGTTCTTCGCATCGTGAAGCACCTTTATTTTTAAGAGTGTATGTATTTGTAGCATGAAATAAATGTATTTCAAATACATTTTAGTATATGTATTTTTAACTAGGGTATGAGCTCGTTCTGATCACTAACCTACAGTACGAGCAAACATCGAATCTCAGTGGCCTGTAATGATTCTAAAGGCAACCGAGCTGTGAGTAGGAAGCTTGTGCATTGCTGACTGTGTCTGGTGTTCTCCAGTCTAGCCGGCGTGTCGCGCAGCGTGACGCTGGTGGTGGCGTATCTCATGACCGTCACGACTCTGGGATGGCAGGAGGCTCTGGCTGCGGTGAAGGTGGCGAGACCTTGTGCTTCACCCAACATGGGCTTCCAGAACCAGCTGCAGGAGTTTGAGAGCAGCCAGCTACAGCAGGTGATTCCTCCACCGTTTATGACTAAATTATTGTGGCTGTATCTTCACAATGAAGCTGGACGCTTGTACAATTACACCATCAAAAACCCTAAACTATCAATCAGACGACAGAAGACATGCATGGGTTTCTCAACAAGTTTAATTGTGTTGATAAATTAGTAAGCCATCAAATATGATACAGTAGGCTTTATAGGGTAAATGTTTGTGTAAATGTGTGATCCAGATTGCCACATGGTTTCTAGAAATATGAATACAGCTAATAATCAGACTTCTGTATGAAGACCCACTGAACCTTCTGTCTTAATGTTTGATGTGTGTTCAGTTCAGAGAGCGGCTGAAGCAGGAGTATAAGGCAAACCCCTTCAGTGATGAGGAGGACGTTCAGAACCTGCTGGCACAGAGCTGCTCCGCGCCGGAGGAACACGACTTTGAACACAACTGAGAGATCGCTCAGAGCATTCCTGTGTGTCGTTATGACTGATATCTGGGATTAGAAACATCATCATGCGACACACTGATTGTGTTTGCTATGGCACAGCACTGTTTAATAACTTATGGACACTTTTTGTAAATAAGACATATTCAAGGTTTTAATGTTTACTACTGATGCCACGTTTAAAGCAGATTTGCATTTTGTTGTTCAGTCTTTACAGTTATATCATAAAAACTGATTTATACTATAGTCTCTGACGTTCTATTTTTTTTTTTCTTCTTAAAGGGACAGTTCACCCAAAAATGAATATTCTGAAGAATGTTAGTAACCAAACAGTTGCCGGTAGCCATTGACTTCCATAGTATTAAAAATAAAAATGAAAGCCAGTGGCTACCAGCAAACTGTTTGGTTATCAACATTCTTCAAAATATCTACTTTTGTGTTTGACAGAAGAAAGAAACTTCAGGTTTGGAACAACTTGAGGATGAGTAATAGTGACAGAAGTTCAGCTATCCCTTGCTGGATCAGCCAAAGAACTGTTTTAATGTCAAAGTAACATAAAGATATAGAAGAGTATATAAGAATAGAAATGTTTATTTTGAAAAATAAGGTAGAACCCAGGTGAAAAAAAGGTGCACTTCCATAATGCACTTAAAGTGCTCTATTTCCACACACTAATTTTGTACTTAATTAATATACTAAAAATGATGCTTTAGTACATCTTAAGATAATCCTAAAATAATCTAAGTGTACTCAACTGTGCTATTTTGGGACACCTGGAATATAAGAACTAAAATGTGCTTTAAACATACTATCTCAGTATTTAAAAAATGTATTTAGTTAGTGCACTTGAGTGTACTAGTGTATGAAAGATGGGTTCAAGTGTACTACAAGTGGTAAGTAAATACATTTTTTTAAATACTGAGATAGTATGTTAAAAGCACATTTTAGGTGTCCCAAAATAGCACAGTTGAGTACACTTAGATGATCTTAAGTACTAAAGAATAATTTTTAGTATATTAATTAAGTACACAATTAGTGTGTGAAAATAGAGCACTTTAAATACATTATGGAAGTGCACCTGGGGGAAAAAAATATATGGTAGACTGAGTAGTATATGCTATTTCTCTGTCGGACAGCAGGGGGCAGCATATTCAACACTGTTGAACTTGAACGAGATTGGTAACAGATTTGAAGTCACTTGTTATCAAATAGGCTACTTGATGAGTTTCGTATTTAAGCTATTATTTGCTTAAATTATTTTGGGGGATTAAAAGGACCCCGAAAAGTTTACGGCTCTGTGGAAATTCCAAACACATGAAGACACAAAGACTTTGACATTGGCCCCTGTTGACGGTCTGAGAATAAGTTAGTGAACCCCGTGTTGTTCCGTGACTGCTGCGATCGACAGCTGTGAATTTCCTCAAATCAAACCGACACAAACAAACATCAAACACCTGGATAACTCTGATGACGAGCGCTGGGAGATTTTCTGGCATATTTTATCGACAGATATTTGTTCCATCGTGTGTGTGTTTGCGTGTCGCAGGGATTTCCCGTATGCTGGATGTTTATTCTTTCGGTTCTGTCGCGTTTCTCTGAAGTCTTCAGCTCTCAATGGTGCTGGAGAAAGACGCTTCCACGTAACGCTCCACCCATCTCTCCACGCGCTTTGAATTATTTAAGAGTAGAAACACCTTCCTCTGACATGACTTGAGAAGTGTCGGCTTTGAAAGCGAAGCTGTCTGCATTCACAAAGGTAAGACTTGAGAGGCTTGATCTGTGTGACAACTGAGCTTGACTGTTAAAGAAAATAAACTATTATACGCATGCAGCTTGTTTATTAATAATGCTTATGCTTCATGCATTATAAGCTACGAGTACCCTTACATACTCATATGCTATCTATATTTTGTTTCTTTAAAAAAAAAAAAAGTAAACTACATTTAAGTAGCCTTTTGACTTGCACGTACACTTTAAAAGTTGAAGCTTCGTTCTTTGAACGCATTCTTTTCATGCAACATTTTCTCTCGGTTAAGAGCACCTGCACTAGACGTTATAAATGTGTGTATTATTGCGGAATATGCATGCATGAACTCCTCTGAATCGCTCTTCTGCTCACTGCATGTGCACCTGCTCTCGCATGCCTCCCTCCCTCACAGACATGAACTTAGATGGGGACAGCAGCATGTCAGTCAGTTGTGGGAATGGCAAACTTAGACAGTGGCTCATCGATCAGATTGACAGCGGGGAGTATTCCGGCTTGGTTTGGGAAAATGACGAAAAAACCATTTTCAGGATTCCCTGGAAGCACGCGGGGAAACAGGACTACAACCGCGACGAGGACGCGGCGCTCTTCAAGGTGATTGAGGATGAAGCTGGAGCTCTGATGACTCTTTCAATGATGGAGTGTCTTTAGACCTGTGTTGTGGCCCCACAAAGCGTTAGGACTCGTATTATCAAACCAAGTGCCTTTATTCAAATAAACACTGCACGCTTTTCAAGCTAGACGTTTGACGAAACTGATCAAACAATAGATCTAGTGTTGAAAACGAAGACAGAAGTGGTTGCAAAACATTAATGGATAATGCCATAGTTATTATACTGAACCACACTTGTGGTTCCTCTGTCGGACACCTGTGCGAACTTGACTTCATCCCCTAAAAGTCACCGAAATACCACCTGATTCAGAGTAATCAAGCCAAGATTATAAAGAAAAGCGCAGTTTGTTCCGAGAAAAGCCACGTGGTTTGATATTTTGTTATCTGATGCGATGACATTCACGTGACTTACGTTTACAAATACGTTTTTGGGGCAACTGTGTGAATGTATGTGCATTATTATTATTATTAGGCCTATTATTATTAAGGCACATTTTTGCAATCATATAGGCTACTGTAGGATAAATTATTAGGAGTAATTTCCTATCAGAGAAAATGCATTCGTGTTGAGCTGAGAAAGACCATTGCATGTTAACAGATTGGCGTTCTGTTGCAGTAGAAACAAAAGCAATGACAATTCAGTCAATCAGACACACTGAACAGTATTTTATTCATTACATAATAGCACACTTATTAACAATAATCATATTATTAACAAGAATCCATTTTAAGAGTCTTTAACTATTTTATGCATTAGTATTCTGAGTTCCTACTAAGTGAGCCAGTTCTTCATGGCCATTTTCTTCTGCTTCCTCTCTCACTCTTCATCTCTTCTCATCTTCACGCTGGTGTTGTGGTCTGTAGGCTTGGGCCCTGTTCAAAGGCAAGCACAGAGAAGGCTTGGACAAACCAGACCCTCCAACGTGGAAGACGAGGCTCCGCTGTGCCCTGAACAAGAGCAATGACTTTGATGAGCTGGTGGAGAGAAGCCAGCTGGACATCTCAGATCCTTACAAGGTCTACAGGATAATACCAGAAGCAGCCAAGAGAGGTAATGTCCATTTTTGGATTGCATAGCAATGAAATGCATTTAATATATCACAACATGCAGAAGGTGTGTTGGAATTGTGCATTGGTTGCCTTCTAATCCACAAATATTGAAGGGGTGCAGTTTTTGCTCTAGGTTTGATGCATTGCATCATTCCAGCTCTTACTGAAAAGTAAGCTCACAAAAGAGCTGTGAACAGAGCTAATTTGCTACACAAAGGTGAAGGCATGCCATGCATTCACATTAAATATTGCTACTTGCCCTCAGTATGTGTAGCAGGAAGCTAAGAGGAAGCCACCACATGTGCTAAAATCCCTCAAGCTTTTTATAGAGAGCTTCGGTTACCAAGTGCACAGCAGTAAAGCAACACAAATCACCCATCAGACCTTGCATAAGACGAGCTTGTGCTTCGAGATGCTGGGCCAAGGCCACGAAGACCTCTGGTGTGTGACCATAAAGCGTTCAGGGGTTTGCAGAATTTCAGTAATTTTATAAAAATGACATATATTGTAGATTCACACCTTAATATAGTTGCTATTATTAGTGCTTGTGAACTACCTGCGAAGTGGAGGCAAGAACTGAACTGTAAGTGAACGAATGAGTGCATTTCGTTTTGAGGATAAAACAGATAAAATGTACAGAAAACGGACCAAAAATATTAATATAGAGTATGATAATTGATCGCTCACCTTGGACTGACTTTTGACCAAAGTCAAATCCTCTAAAGAATGGAAACGTGACAGTGGCGTAAACTATTTTTATTTACAAAAAGATGAACGGTTCGATATGTCCAGCCTCAGCTTCTTTGAACAAAATAAATACATCAGCAAAGGAAGGAAAACTGGCTTTTTTAGCACACTCTCATGGCAATTCGTAACTGTTTTACGTTTTGGCAAATTGGTGGCAAATTCGTACGATCTCATTCGTATGTTTTCGTACGATCTGCTGAGGTTTGGGTTTAGGGCTGGACCTTCATGCTTAATTTTTATTTTTATTTATTTTATTTATTTATTTATTTTTTAATTATTTTTTTTTTTTACAAAACGTGCATTCCCGTACAAATCAAATTGTACAAATTCATATAAAATTGCCAACTCTTTAAAATAGTTTTTATGTTTTGTTATGAGCTCAAGTTGGCGCTTTAGCAGCTTCTCGAAATCTGTTCTCGCGTTCAAAGCAAACCAAGAAGAAAGTCAGAAGCTTGAAAGTGCAATTATCAGTTATTGGCCACAGTTATCACAATTATAGCCAAATGCTCAAATTGTGTGGATATTTATTTATTGATTTATTTTTTGTAGGATTTGCAGACAGAGATTCATAAATATTATTGTGCAGTTACTGTATATATATATATAGGTTATGAATATATAATTTTTTGCATTTTAGGCTCTAAGTCCAGCAGTATGGATGACAGCGCAGCACACGTGACTTCTATTAGTTATCCAATGCATTCTTCTTATCCTCCTCTACAGCCTCAGGTAAGGTGTATCACCTTTGCCATGTCACACCTTTTTAACAAAATATTAATTTCCGTGGGAGACGTCTTATGTGAAGAGTTTTTCTTTGTATTCACTGGCCAGTTAGCATTGAATCTATATCTAGTACATATACATTTACTGCTTGTTCCTAGCAGGTGCTTTCAGTGTGAAACAGTGTTGTAGTGTCAAGATACTTTTATAGTTTTTATTAATATTTTGAATTAGTTTATATTTTTATATTTTCTGTTTTCATTTTTATTCTGGTTGACGTTTTTGTAATATTGTTTTTAACAGTGTTTTTGTCATTTTTATTAGTTTTTTATATGCCAATATAGTTTTTATTCTTTTTTCTAGTTTTATATTTTTGATTATTTTATTTAACAAAATATTAATTTCCGTGGGAGACGTCTTATGTGAAGAGTTTTTCTTTGTATTCACTGGCCAGTTAGCATTGAATCTATATCTAGTACATATACATTTACTGCTTGTTCCTAGCAGGTGCTTTCAATGTGAAACAGTGTTGTAGTGTCAAGATACTTTTATAGTTTTTATTAATATTTTGAATTAGTTTATATTTTTATATTTTCTGTTTTCATTTTTATTCTGGTTGACGTTTTTGTAATATTGTTTTTAACAGTGTTTTTGTCATTTTTATTAGTTTTTTATATGCCAATATAGTTTTTATTCTTTTTTCTAGTTTTATATTTTTGATTATTTTATTTTAGTACATCAAGTAAAGCAAGTTTTATATTTAGTGCATTAACTTTTATACACACACACACACACACACACACACACACACACACACACACACACTCACACACACACACACACACACACACATATATATATATATATATATATATATATAAAT